AGCCGTTGGCTGCTGGGATACCAAAGATTCCTTCAGAGATTGCGGACGGAATTTCGTTGCAGTGACGGACGAACTCCTCTCCACGTCTTGTCTTATCTTACCCCTGCCGGTATTACAGCCTCGTCCTCTTATACCCCTTCTAAGACGGAGGTATCCTACGCCAGACAGATAAAATTCCAGGAAAAGCGAAAAGGGCCTCCTCCAACTCCCTTTTCCTCTGGAAACAGGAACCTTCACGAGAGCGAAACTACGCTGCCGTATCCCATATCCTGCGACGTCGGAAAGAGACTCTAAATCGAAAGATCCCAGTTTAGATGGATCCTGGATGCTCAAGGTGCTAGATCTCCCGTCATTCGAAATCGATTCGGCAAACACTTTCCGCTACCAAACCGCTCCCCGCGCGCAAAACAGATAAAATCAGTTTTTATGTATACAGGAATCACATCACGAGCTAAAATAATAATCAATAACACTACACATTTTTTTTCTATATATTTCTTTATCCATAGATATTGTAATGAATTTAAAGTTGACATTTTTTAACAGAAGACATATATTTTATAGACATTTTTTTTATAAAAGACATTATAAAAAAAATAAATTAGCAATTTTTAATTTTAAGATGAATCTAAAAAATTTTACAAAATAGATTCAAAATATTATTTAATAGGAAGACATCGTGACTTTTAATATATCTGATGAACACAAAATGCTTTGTTTATTAAAATCAAAATCATTATTTTAAAAAATGAACTAATAATTTAACTCATTAAATAATTATGTAACCATATATTCTTTCTGTAGAAAGTTTGCTAAATAACTTTGCAAACTCACAAATTTATGCGTATCTAGGATGTCAAAAGAGTAAGTAGAACGAGTGAAAGTTAAGATAAGGGATTATTGCATTTTAGCGAAGAATTCGCAAACTTACGCAAAATTGCGAATGTGAGATGTACCCTCTCAAACTGTTACGAAAATATGATAGAGTAAAACACAATACCACATGTTACAACAAGTTTTCGTTGTAATATTGTTTCATTATACCAACTCTACTTCTACTATTTCATGAATATTCATTCTTTTTCATCATCATTATTATCTTCTTTGTAAAACTTTTTACACAATTACACTACACTGATATGAAATATTTACATTTAAATACAATCTTTATTGCATTCTTTTTATTCACAAAGCAACGTAATTACTGGTATAATTATTCAAGTATATTGATAATATAAAGAACAATTGATCGATAAAGATCAATAATTGAAATAAGAGATGAGATCAATTGAAATAAACAAGGAAGTTACATTGGTTTCTAGATCATGGTCAGAGTTCTCAAGGTCAAACACCCTTCATCGACAAAACCTGTTTGGAACATAAGAAGAAAGTCGTGGCCCAAACCTGATTGTCGATCGCCTCGGTGTCTGAACTTTCGTGGTGACCTCCTTTTCAAATATCCTCGATCTCCCGCTTCCATCTCGTTTTACGTTTATCTCTTTCTGGAAGCTGCACGATTTATCGTCGTTCTCATTCGCTCACACAATTTCGCTTAAAATTGAAACGATACATAAATGGGAGCGCTTCGCTCCAATACTATATAAGAGATGTGTTTTATTAGATATATGAAATTAAAAACAGAGATCAAAGATATATACAGAGAAAATATTTATGAGTAACGGTGAATGAAGTAATTAGGAAGATTATCAGAACACGTGTCATTCGTTTAGCTTGTATTAGAAATTTTTAATCAAAATTTTAAATAAATGTAGAAAAAGGAGATCAAAAAATTTATCAAATTATATTGTCACGATAATTATACTTTATTATATAGAATCTCGCTCAAGATAGAAATTATGAAAAACTAGGGACATGTAATTAATTAATTCTAATCGCGTCAGCATGCACAGCTTGCAAACGGCAACGACAAACCAAGTTATTACACCGTGATACGTGCTGGTGGAATCTGGCAATAAAATTTGCATTAATCGTTCTCGACCAGCGGAGAGCACAGGAAACGGAAACGCAGAAAAGTAGGATATGTAATAATGTATGACGCGTACATCAGAGAGAAAAAGAAGATATTAATTCAGCAATTAATCCTCCATTTTTCATGTTTAACAAAGCATCAAACAATATATCAGCTAATAGTGAAAGCAAAATATTTTGTAAATTGCACTTTCTCTTTATTAGTAATAATTAACGAGCAGCGATAAATTTTACGAAGAATGCTGACTTTTGGTGAGTCTTCATGTACACTGGAAAAAATCAAATGTCTCGATATTGATGTGGAGGCATGTAAAAAGACTTAAAAATTTATAAAAAAAATAAAAGAAAGAAAGTTTAGTATTGAAACAAAGATAGAACAAAAATGGAACAAAGCCCTCAGATGAAGAATCACGAATTTGAGTTAAAATGCCGCGAAGACTATTACTTATGAACTATTTGCTATCGCGTGATTTACGGCGCGAATTGTTGTTAACTACGTATGTAGATTTAGATGACGACTAATACAAGAAAGTCAAGACAGCGTATGAAGAAAGAACCGATAAGGAAAACTGTATGAACCATAGTAACGCAAAGTGAAAAAAAGAAAGAAATACAAGAAGCAAAAAAGATAGAAGCAACCGAAGAAGCAACCGCGAAGGCCACAAAGGCCACGGGCTCACCCAGTGACTGCTTGTTACTCTGGCACGTCTCCAAGTCTACTCTACAAGCTTTTTCTATTTTACCCCTTAGTTTTCCGTTCTCCTGATTTATTACTATATTGCGCGTTACAGTTTGGCCGCTCAACAGCCGTCACCATTCGTGACAGAAACCGGATTTCATGACGCATCGATTCTTTAAATAGAACAGAAATCTTAAATTTGTTGATTTGTGACAAAAATTGTATCAATTTTTGCTGTTATTATGCAGAAAAAATGTTTTAATTAAAGAAACTATAAACACACACACACACACACACACACACACACACATAATATATTATTATAACGAATGTTTTTGTGTTTCTATTAAAAGTACAATTAACTTTTAATTGTAAATTCTAATAGATAAACTTAGATCTTTAAAAAAAAATAAGTAAAATACAATCTTCTATAATAGTAAAAATGTGTTAAAACTTTTACAACTGGGTAAGAATTTCTTTAAAATCATTATCAACAGAAGAATATGAATAGTAGTAAATTAGTTTTACATATTTAATTATGTGTGAGCGTGCAGCAACAATTGATTTGAAGCATAGTTACTTTGTAGGTTTGAATACAATTTTATGCTCATTTGTATAGAAGTGATCTTTATTAATACATTTCAAAATTTCTAATCTTATAAAAATTTACTATCTAAACACGGTATACTTCTTAATTGTAAAATTTTAATGTAGAAATAAAATTTGTAACATAAAATCATAAAAAGCTAAAGGAATGAATATTTGTACTGGAGCATTTTGTATTCTCGTTATGTACATTTTACAGGTGTTTTAGCAATTAGCAGATGAATTAATGCATTGCGTACGAGACGGAACTTGCACATAGATTATACGTAACGCGCCCATTATTAAGTCGCATGTTTGTCCGTAACGATGCTTCGCAAACGACCGGGACAGTTTCAGGAGCGTCCATCATCCACGGAAATAGTTGAAATTCTCCGGGTAGCCACCGGAAACGTGAAAGTATATATCGCGCACGTACAAAACACGAACGAGTGTGAGTCTCCGGATGCCGTATATCTTTGTAATAAACTCAGGCGACCCCAGCCCATTCGGCTACGCTCTACCCTTATGACCCGTCGACGTTAATTACCAGAATAATTGCCCAGGATGGAAATCCAAGCCTTACGTAGGCGTGCTTTGTGGTGTTAGTCGGACAGGTCAGGTGGCTTGCATGATCCTTTTAACACGGCATTCTATGTTATACGAATAATACAATTTTTATTTTTGGAGATCGAATATATCAAACAATATTTTTCAAACAATATTTATTTAATTATTCAAACTGAATAGCTTTTAGAAAAATAGAAGAGACTATAAATGCCTTTGCAAGAAATATGAATAAGTTGAAAATCTTATCTAAAAAGAAGTATGATATCCTATGAATTAATTTACATAAATTAATTCTCATTTATGTAAATTAAATTAATTTATGTAAATAGTTTGCACAATAAGATACAAGACACAATAAGATACAAGAAGAGTAATTTATTTTATAACTATTAGTTACTGTTTTTTCTTCTAAAAATATAAATTATTTATTAATAAAGAATAATGAATTATTTATTAATAAATAACTAAAATAATAAATTATCTATTTATCAATTCTAATTTATCTAGAGAGAAAGTAAATAAATATTTTGTACACAAAAGATTTATTTTCGAAGCAATGAACAATGAAGACAATCTCGACTTTGTTATTTCGTGATCATACTTTTCACTAACGATCGAGTCTTTTACCATGACACGCGGATAATTCAGGCGACGATTGTCGCTCACGGAACGAACAAGGAAGAGACTTGTCTCCTTGGAAATTCGCCAAAATCGTGGCACGGACTCTCAATTTACTAGCCAGTTTGACTTTCTACGTGCTCGAAGTACACATATCTCCTTTCTTCAAACCAAGAAAAATGTATATATGTGCCATTATTGGCGTATCTGTCCTATAGATTTGCCAATGGAAATTCAAAAGATTTAAGTTTTTATAATAGTTCAGTAAAATAAATAACTGATAAAAATTCTTTAATGTTGTAAAAGACTTCTTATAAATTGTTTCTAAAATTGTGAAAATAATTATGATAACATATAGATACGCAATTATACAAACTAAATCGATTTGAAGTCCAACACAATATTTATTCTTTTACATATTAAAAAAAAACGTAAGTTTTACACCATTTAGATAGTTAATTATATGATATTTAAATTACCATATATTAAAAACTATATATATTATTAAATTACACTAAGAATAAATAAAATTTTGAGAACAGTTTGCCAATGGATGCTTATAAAATCATAATATGCTGTGTTTTTTAATAATGCTTCAGTCGCGATAGGTATTACTCGGGATCACCAAATATACATATAAGATTCTTTTAAATCAGAACCAAAAATAAAGTGCAGACTTTTTCTTCTTTTTATTCTACATTCTGCAATTATATAGTACTACGTGTATCATCATGGATAAATAGTACAAATACACATGCATACGCCTGACAATAAGTCCAATCCTTGTCTCTTCCTCACGAGCGTACATCTGCACACGAAACTGCAACGGATTCGATAGCAGAAGAGCAGAAGTTACTTAGGAAATTGGTGACAAATTCTCTTTTTTCTTCGCCGTCCGTCACGCTTACCCACAAAATACATCCTGTACTGCGATTCTTTTTGCAATAGGTAAAAGACGAAGATCTATGCAGAAGAAAGAAGAAAAACGGAAAAAAGGAAGAAAAAACGGAAGTACAAAAGAAGGAAGAAGAGAGGAAGAAATAAGCGAAAAGAGTGAAGGCGAGGGAGGAGATGTGCTCTCGCATAAAATTCTCGTTACCCTACGTACTACGTATCGAGCAGCTCTCGAAACGACACGCTGATCCTCACTTCTTCTCATCTTCTTCTTAAACCATTCCCCTTTCGTGTTCTGCCTTCAAACCCTGGCATACCGCCGCTCGTCCTCGAAATTGCATTTCGCTCGACTGTCGCGGCTCGTTTGCTCGAATGCGCCAAGAGCTTCTCGGGAATAGGCTGCCTTTAACTTCGAGGCTGGTAGTGGTGATGACAACGATGACGGCGATGGCGACGACAGTAATGCACAGTTCTATTAATTTAAATTACGGAAACGGACTTTACACCACACGTCGCAAATACGTGCAATGTCTGTTTATCTGCGATCTCACCTAGTTAGTATGTTGAAGCTAACGCGCACGAGTCTCTCACATCCGTGGAGTATGTTGAGCATTTGGCAGAACGAAAATATCAATATGCTACAGGCAATCGTTGATGTGTGTCTTGGATGATTCAAGTATCTCTCATAAATTTTCAAATATATGTAGCAGCATCGTAAACTTTTCAATATTTCTTCAAAATATATTGAAAAATGAAAAGTATATATAAAACATATATATATATATATATATATATATCGAAAATCCATGCATATAAAATATTATTACATAATAATTTTTTTGATATAACAAATTTTATTTATTTTTATATAAATTTTCTTTAAAATTTTTTTACAAGAACAATGTTACAATATTATTATTTTACAGAAAAATTCGATATTATTTCATATAATGTACACATTATTCACCATGGAATATTAAAAAATAAAATAACTTCGTAAAATATTCTGTTCGTACTATAACAAAGCGTCATAAATCCAAATATTTATATTTAAATTAATAAAAATAATTTATATTAATAAAAATTATAAAGCATATTTTATACAAATAAAATATATATTGAATTATTGCTTCTTAAAAAATGTAGACATATTAATAATAGATATATAAGTAATTTTAATAGAACTCTGAATTACAATCAATTCTGTAATCTTTGCAACGATCGAGATAGGCTTTGGAACGCGTTACATGCATGCACGATTCTGGAAAATAAAGTTTTCCAAAATAAAATTTACCGCAGACTTTGCAACCGTCGCGAAACTTTGATAAATAGGATTCTTAAAAGTTTCCATCTCTCTAGCATTAAGTAAAATTTCCATATCGCTATCATATTTATGCGTACAAGAGAACTTACGTTGCACAACGATCAATTGTGCCGAAAGCAACGGCACTTTACGTTTTTGCTATAGCATCGCGAAGAAAATAGTTTGAAAGTATTCTCAGAATCCACTTCCTGTGACGTTTTCCATGTTCTCTGTATCCGACTGTACGCTATGCGGAATGATGAACGATCCTTTCTGCATCCTGTATGAACGCTGAGCGCATACAATGTCAATTTTAGCCGCATGTATCAAATTTGGCGAGGGAGACGCATTGCCGTCGTTTCAAGTAAACTGATATTAGACATATATATTTGCGATTCTAAATACGAGATTATTTTATTTCTTAATATTCCATGGTAGATAGTGTACTATACGAAATAATATAATATCGAATTTTTCTGTAAAATAATAATATTGTAATATTGTTCTTGTAAAAAAATTTAGAAAGAAATTTACTTAAAAGTTAATTTGAAATTTAGAAGTGTTTTGCTATTTAATATAATTTTTTTACATATATAACGAATAAATATAACGTCTTACGAATATAATCAGCGATCTCAATATTGTTTCTTCGCACGTGTATATTATATTCATGAATTATGCCTTGTTACTAATATATAGATATGCTAGCTTAATATTATCCTGTCGCACATCCAAATACACCTTTCATTTAGCCACGTGTAAATTAATGGATAGTGGAATACACAGCATCACAAATAACAGAGTAAAATGGCGTAGTTGTATCATCCCTACGTCATATAATGGCAGAATTCACCTGAGCATTCCGTCTAAATTCAATTAAGAAGAACGAAGTTTGTCCCAAATATCTTACTAAAACATTTGAGGAATATTTCTCTCTTGAAATGATTAAAAGTGGAGAAACTTTAAAAAAGGAAATTTTGCTAATACAAACGGTGAAAAACCAGAGACACAGATTTTAAACTAAATTTAAAAAATTAAACTTGAAATTGTACTCTTCTTATATTTAATCTAAAGGATGAATTAATTTTCTCATAATCCGAGATTAATTAGTTAAATTGGCTTCTTGCTGTAAAACCAATAAAAAAATTTTCGAAATTAAATTAACACGATACGAAATTTTTTGACAATTATTTCATTAAATGCAAATCTCAACCCCTTATAGAAATTTAATACTGGAAGGTAATGATTAATTAATTTACTTATTTCAAGTATTAAAAGCATTATCATTTAGTGCTTTAAATACTGAAAATAAGTAAATTAAATATCAGCATTAAATTGGCCAGTATGAAATTTCTGTAAAGGATGTGTATAGTCGGATGTTGAAGCACGTTCAGCACTTTTCCACGACAACACATATAATGCACAAAGCTTCGTCTTCGGACCGTCATTTTCTTGGAAAGTGCACGGTTCATAAATCCGTCCCGCAGCAGCGAGCCCCACCTGCAGAGAGTTTATAGCTAATAAACGCAAATACCTACCGCGCTGCTTATGCGGAATACATAAAATATTGATACACATTAACTATCAAAACGATGGTGTAGGATGATAACAATGACGAGTCGATGTAAATGAAACTTTTTTATATGTAAAAAGAAATTATAATATAAAAAATTTTCCATTAAAGATTTTTTTTTATAATTAAATCATATAATTATATAATTTTATACATATTTATAAGATTGATTTTTAATCTCTTATCTTTTTTTATTTAATAAAAAGAAAATAAAATTTTGTAATTGTTTTAGAAGAGAAAGAGAGAGAAGCAATGTTTCTAAAGATAAATTAATTATAAATTGCAAATTAATTTTTGAATAATTTGCATTACTTTTTTAGTTAAATGGTTGAGAAATATAAGTAAAGTGTATTTTATTTTATGGTATTTATCAGCAAATATTTTAGGCAGACATGCCAACAAAGCATTTTCAGTAGTCGATATCGAAGATATCGAAAAGATACTACTCTTTTTCTTGACAGATCGTGACAGATACGCGCAACACCAGCATTCAGCATTAGGCTAAATTGAAGAACAAAATGAAAAATGCGATAAACATTTTCTTCATGTTAAGTGTCATATTACGATTCCAGATAGGCGTATTGAAATTTAACTAACTGAATCGCGGAAGTGAATAATCCGTTAACATTATTCACACTAGTAATTAGCATTGTGTTATGTATGATTATATGAGAAAAAGTGAAAGCTTTCTTTCTTTTTGTCACGTAAGACAGGAAGTAAAATTATCTTCTATATGTCAGTAGTAGAAAATTTTGTGGACTTTAACCGCTAAGTTTTTTACTATTTATGGATTCTCATTAAAACATAATCAGCAATCATCCTAGAAAAGACGCAATATAGCCTTATTACATATTAAATTTAATCTATTACTTCCTCAAAAATTATTATCAAAATAATCATTAGGATCATTTGATAAATTATGAGCAGTAATATTATCTTTAATATAATTTACAGACATGTTATGTTAATTATTTAGAATAATTACAGAAATAATTATATTTCCTATTCTTCCTTTCCCCTCTCCCTCTTTCTTCCCCTCCCTTTCTCTCTCTCTCTCTCTCTCTCTCTCTCTCTGTCTCTACTGTTTCTACTCTCTCTCTAGAAAAAAAACATAATTAAATAATAATCCCGCATGTTTATTATAATTATTTCAACAATGTAATTACATTAAACATGATTTAAACTTAATTTGTTTTTCTATACCTATTGAACTTTATATTTTCCTGAAATATATTGTATTGTTTGAGTACTAATCTCCTTGATACTTTTACAATCTCGCATTTTATGATACGATGAAAATAAATGTTATTTTAATGAGCACAGGTATAAGTCAAATTTGGAAAATGTTACTAGTGTAGTTGATGTTATTATTAATAATTGTTAGTAACTGAGAGCAAATTTTTCAATCAATTAATTTATGATGTTTGCCAGTTAGGACTAAAGGAAAGGATTAATAACTATTTCAATTTTTTCAATAATTTTAATTGGTGAAAATTCTTTTAAGGTCAGCAAATCAACAATTTGGTTTTATTGGCAATATTTATTTATTCAACTGAGAAAAAGCTTGCATGTAAAATTCGTCTGCATTTTGATTAAATTTTTGTGTTCTATATCAATATTTGTATACATATACATGTATATATATATATTTATATATGTATGTATGTGTGCGTGCGTGCGTGCGTATAAAATAATAATAGAATACATAAATTATATACTAGTATATATGTATGTACATTAGTATATAGCGTGTGCGTAAATTTTAGTAGAAACTTAGATCAGTTGCTTATATCAGCAAACACAAGGCTTCAAAATCCAGATATCCCTGTATATGTTTTTTTCCAAAATACTGATTGAAATTTTATCGAAACTTGAGGAATTAGTAGGAAAGCCTTACACATAAAAAATAAAATTTTAGTTTTTTTTAGTTTTTTAATTTCTTTTATCTATTCTCTACAAATAACACTTTTAGTGTCTTTAATCACAAATATGTACGAAAAAATGAGTCTGACATATCTTGCTAATATTACTTCCCGAGTTACATAATATCTTCCGTGATAGGCAGCACACTGCTTACATACTTGCTGCTTAATGAAGGAAGAAAAAAAGAACGGTAGGAAACAAGGGAAGAACAGTGACGATGAGGAAAAAAAACTTTGTGTGACGTATACATGAAGGTGGATGATGAACAAGTGTTACGTCGCACGAAACCACATCGTGCAACGAGCGTATATCTCGTTGGTACATGCAACCGACTAGTATAGAAGGAAAATAATATATAACGAGCTGAGTGAGATGGAGAGAAATAAGTAAGAGGTTAAATCTTACGAGAATCAAGGAGAAAAGTGTACAAACTTGATGCCCTCATGAATCTACTGTGTCTACATACTGTAGCACTGTTTCGTAATTACATTCGTGGGCGTTTACATTTCTATTTGACTGTTGTCTTCACATGGACTCATGTAAGCGCATATGTGGATGCATGGTTCTGCAAAGCATTATTGTTTCTTCGAGTAAAATAGCCTACTAATTCTTCCTTTGTTGAGATCGTTAAATCTTAATTTTATTCAAGAGTTATTAACCTTTATTTAGTGTGATGTTAATGTCTTTTTCGAATAATTAATGTTATTTGAAAATATTATTTGAAAAGCTTACGTTTGTTATTACCATTATTATTATTTAATTATAATATTATAAATCGAGAAGAAATACATAAAAAATGAATCTCGTAAAAGAAATTTTTAACAATAATAAGAACAATATGTATGTAATATTTACTGATTGATTTGAAATTTAAAACATAGTAAATATTATGGTAATATCTTAATGAAAATGAAATTTAT